ACGTAAATTATCTGCGGCGGCACAGTTGGCACAAACGAAGGAAGGAAATGTGGACTTGGAAACACCTGACTCCATCCTTACAAGTGTCAACCTTAGAGCCCTCCTCAATAAACACACCTTTGGTAGCCTTCCTCCTGCTTATCAGCACAGACTGATCAAGCTTTTGCCAATGGTTGATCAGTCAGTTGGGGCTGATGACACCCTCAAGTGAGTGCTTTATATATGTAAAATTACATCAGATTTGAGAATGTCTTGTTTTTCTTGAGATTTTTAGTTCCTCTTTGTTAAATCTCCCTCACTCCCTGCAGAGTTATTCCAACGGGCCTCAATAATGAATTCTTTGGCCGTGCTTGTGAATCCTGGAGATGTCGCCTGGGTGAAGGAGAGTTCACTCATGACAACCAGGTTAAGTTAAAAGTGGAAGCAGAGAGAGAACGTACAAAGTTAGACCCATGGAAGGTATGCTGAAATTTATTAGTGTTGAGACAATGGATATATTGTTATTGTTTTTGATATTTGAATACATGATGTTCTGTAAATGGAAGTTATAGAAGATGAAAATTTATTAAAATATTGAAGGTTAAAATGTGATGCACAAACATTTCTCCCCCTCCCCCCCCTCTCTCTATCTCTCTCTCTTGCTCTCTTCCCCCCCTCGCTCTCTCTCTCTTTCCCCCTCCCCCCCTCTCTCTCTCCCCCCCTCTGTCTCTCTCCCTCCCTCTCTTTCTCTCTTTCTCTCCCTCCAGGTTGCCCACTTCGAACCACTATGGGGAGTGAAGCAGGGTTGGTGTAGCACTGAAGGGGAAACCAGTTCAAGCAGTCCTCCCTCCCCCTCTGGTGGGAGTGTCTCCATGTCACCCCCACAAGAGTCACACACAACACCAGCGTTTACTTCAAGCTTTTCCGATATACACATCAGCCAACTAACCAAGGTGCTTGAGCACATAGCAACCCGTAACGAGAGAAGAGCTCAGAGGAGAACCCAGAGAAGAGCAGAGAGGAGAAAGCAAAGAGAAAGGGAGTTAGCTGAGGAACTCTCCAGATGTTCTGCAAGTCAAGCTAGCTCCATTAACCCATCTGCCAATTCTTTGTTGGGGCTCCCCAGTGCTTTGCCTGCACCCCAAACGCCAAGCTTGGCAACTGCGACTCCAGTGACCTTGCCCCTTGTCCCAAGTTCTTCACCCCTTCCCCCAAACTCATTATCTTTGTTCACTAGTTCTTCATTACCATTGCATGCCAGTAAGAACAATCTTAGTGAAGTGACTAGCGGTGTTCATGCAGTGTTCTCAGCTGAGGAAAAGTTGCCACTGCAATCTCATGTGGTGAATGTAGATTCTGTTGTCTTGTCAAAGGATATCTTAAAGAGGAAAGATGGACTAGCGCTCACCACAACCACGCCCTCAAAGAAAATCCGTGTGTCAAATGCAGATGTGACAAACAGTTTTGTTGTAAAACCAGGGCCAACTAGTGCAACTGCCCAGATATTAACTACACCTGTCAGTTGCCAGAGCGAAGCACCCAGAACAACTCGTGTTCCAACAACATCAGTAACTGGAACTCCTAAGGTTGTCTCTAGTAGTGTCAGCATAAACAATCCTACTGTTGCAACAGGAGCTCCTGGGGTTCCCATAAAGCCAACATCAGTTATGGTTGTAAGTGCTCCCTCATCAGCAGGGAGTGCAGTGGTGGTCACAAACCCAAGGATGTCTCCTGCAGCAAGAATATCCCCAGTAACAAGAGTCTCACCTTCGCCTTCACCTTCAAGACTTTCCCCAGTTGTACAAGTTGTCTCGCCCTCTCTCTCTTTGGCCCCATCACAGAGTCCACCAGCTAGCAGAACAGTTGTGGTAGCTGGTCAGACTCGGCCAGTGGAGGTTTCATCCAGTGCCCCACCAGTCTCCCATGTGGCAAATACTGTAGTTCAGCCTCTGCCTACATCGTCGGTAGCCAGTCTTACTTCTAGAGTGAAACCTGTCAGAACACCTCAGGTAAGCCAAAAGTCTTACAGAAAGATTTGCTTGCAACATTTTCATGATCTGAGCCTAAGGCCATATCCCCACTGGCATAGAGCAGGTCCAGCCAGGCCCAGGCAGATGGGTTTGGGAGTATGCATTTTGTGTGTCCTTACTGAATAATGATATGCTTTTATGGACATTGTCATAAAATGCATTTCTGCTTGTGACAGTTGGTACACAGAATATTTTTGCCATCCAATTCCAGTATGGCAAGTTGCATGTGTCAACACTCCCAAACTTGGCCTGTACTCACTGCTAGTGTGTCCAGTTTTATATGTATAATGTTATAAGACATCTCAATTCAGCATTTTATGCCAACTTATCCTTACTGAAGTAGATGTGGCTTAAGGAGACTGTTCCAGATGGGGGGGGGACAAGGGGTCAAATTGTGTTAGCTAGCAAGTAGTATAGGTACATGGATGAGGAAACTACCAAGTAAGTATCAAAGGCCTGCTGTTGTTAGTTCTCTTGGAGTCAACGTGAGACCCACTAAACACTTGGGGAGGTATGTCACTAATGAGCGCCTAGGTACACCTATGTCGACATTTGCTTGATTCAGTTGTGCATACTGCATTTGATTATGACATTGTGCATAGATATGAGTTGGTGAATGTTCAAGGAACACTTTTATAAAGATAATGGGTGCAAAAGGCTAATCAACAACCCTACACTTGTTTTCCATTGCAATCTTTTACTGTTGACAATTATTGAAAAAAACAGTTTGTAGGGATAACTAATATATTTTATTCCTTTAGCTATAAAAGTCGATGTAGACCTACTAAATGAGGATGATTAATTTTTTAAAACTTAGTGTGTGTGTTTGCATACAGACAAATAAAATATTTTATTTATAATATTTTATATTTTGGCCACTTGCCAAATTTCGTTGTCTTATTTTTCTCTAAATCTAATGATATATATATATATATATATATATATATATATATATATATATATATATATATATGTATATATTTATAAAAAAAAAAAAAAAAGATTAGTGTACTTTATGATGCGATTATTACCAAGTCAGTCGGAAATATCATTTTCATTAGGGACGCTTTCCTATAAAGGTATTTAATTTTGTTTGTTGGATATAAAAGTAGATATGGTTGTCTGAAAAGTTAAATAATGCATTGAACTATAGGGACACCTAGTCTAAACTTTTTTTTTTTAAGAAATGGAGAACTGTGGATGGCAATATCAGTACAGAATTATCCTAGTTATAAAGTCCTAGTGTGAATACAACATGGTGGTTCAGTGTTGAGAATTTTAAAAGCATATGAATTTATTATATGGACTTCGAGATTTACAGAAGTAGTTGAATTTTTCCCGTGCTCCACACATGGGGGAATAGACTTACATCGACTTTTATATCTAAGAGTATAAAATATACTGGTTATCATTTTCTTTGGTAATTGTCATTAGTAACAGATTGCAATGGGAAATGAGTACAGAGTTGTTGATTAGCCATTTGCACCCATCATCTTTACTAAGAAGTGCATAAAGTCATGCAGACACCTAGGTGTGGTTGGATATTTGTGAATTTTTGGTACCTAAGTCCTACTGTAACGTCAAAATGTAATATTTTTTTCGGAAACGCACAAAATGAATGCGATAGTTTTTTCAACTCTAGACGAAGACTGCACACACTAACAAGTTTAATGTTGAATAAAGTTTTTTATTTCAGAATAAGTATTACTGTGTACTATCATCAGTCTGAAGTCATCAGTACCTCGCTTATATCTCTGAAGTTCAAAATCTGACTTTTAGGTACCCTTTGTATTGAATGCTCAGTTTCAAATCAAATCAAATTTACTGATGCCATAATTGAGCGAATATTAACGGAAATACTTTAATTCTTACTTATACAGCTATTTGCAAACAGTAGTGCTTCTTACCCAGTATATGTACAGATCACTTCGTAAACTACAACATATTACCAGGGAGTCTCAATGGAAACATATTTCGTCTGTAAAAGGACACAAAACTTACTTTTTTTTTTTTTTATTAGATATATTTTACAAAATATTTCATTATAAATCAGAAATATTTTTTTTCTGATATTGGTATAGAAGTGTTCTTTGAACATTCATGAACTCATATCTATGTGCAATGTCATAATTAAATGCTATATGCATGATTGCAACAAGCAAAAGTCCACATAGGTGTACCTGGGCGCTCATTAGCGGTGTACCTCTCCAGGTGTTTAGCGGGTCTCGCGTGTGCTGCCTGAGAACTAGCCATAACTTGGTAGTTTCCTCATTCATGTACCTATACTATACGCTAACTCAATTTGACCTATCCCCCACTCCCATCTAGGACAGTCCCCTTAATAAGGGAAATGTTTGTAGATGAATTATTGTTTCTTTTTGTTTCAGAAAGATTTGTTACTTGTTTTGTGTGAATTTGAAAGTTTTAAGTATATAAATGGCCCCTTCACAATAAAGAATTTGAATTTCTTAAGATGTAAAAGATTTCAGGAAATTAGTTTCTAAAATGTATGATTAAGATAATATTAGTGGGGCTTTAATATTTTTATATGCCAAGATGTCTTTACAGTGTTATACACTTAAAATAGACCATTTATCATGAGAGTGAATATGCATTGATAAGTAGAACTGGTAACACTCGTCAGAATTTATAAAGTTAACCATGCAACTTTTACGTTTTACTTGTTATAAATGGAAATTAAGCCTGCCAGCTTTTGTACTAAAGACAGTTTTATCCATAAGTAAAGGGCTGCATTTGATAATGAAACATGATTATTTCAACTAATGATATGAAGTTGGGGCTAGGTATAGTTCACAGTTGTCAGTCCTTTACTATACCAAGCTTTTGTGATCTTTCAGGGTTTGTCAGGGGCAGGAACCATAGCCTTGAAGGTGACCAGAAGCAGGCCTCCAGGAGGGGTTAACATCCAGAGATCGTATGAAATCGTCCAGGCTGTCATTGCCAACAGCCCGAACAGGGACCAGTTACAAGCTCAGCTCAAAACTCCAGCAGCTTTACTTGCTGATGTCAAACCTAGCACCAGTGGGCAGACAGTGGTGGCTCCATCAGTCAGCAGTGGCAATACTATTGTGACCAATCCTGTTAACAGTCAGGTGGTGGTGCAAGCTGCCCCACAGAACCAAGTGCAGACTATTACTGTGGTCAAGGCTGTTGCTACCACCAGCAGTAACAGCACTAGTAGCACATCACCTGTACAAGGGGCTCAACTCATCACCAGTGGCCCAAGAATGGTCCGTCAGGTGGCTCTCAGTGTCAGTGGTGCAGCTGGGACCACTGTGATGCCACCCATAGCGGGCACACCAGGGACCATGGTGCTACGACAAATGGTCACACCTCAGTCTCTCTCGACCCCATCCCAGGTACCTTTGGCTTCTTCAAGTAGGGCCTCCTCTCTTTTGCTTGATGGTAAACTAAGGATTACTTGTGGTGGTGGTGTTGGTGGTGGCAGTAGTGTTAGTGGTAGTGGTGGAAGTGGTGGTGTTGGAGGCAACTATACGAGAGACTCAAGTACAGTTACAAATATCCCAGAAAGTAATGTTATTGTTTCAGGACAGAATAGTACTGATGTAGGTAGCTGCAGCATTGGTTGTGATGGGGAAGGAAGTGGTGGGAGTGTGTCTGGCGTTGCAAGCATCAGTAATGTGAGTGAGAGCCTCTGCAGTTTCAAGTTTGGGGAGCCTGTAACAACCATGGTAGTGATGTCTCAGCCAAGTGGTGTAACACCAGTTAGCAGTAGGGTGCTGGTCCTTCACCCAAGTAATAACAGTAGTGAAGGCATTAGTGACAGTAGTGGTGGTGGGTGTAGTGGCAGCATTGGTACAAGCAGTGGACCACTGCTTGTGTCATTTTCAGCGGAGTCTCAGCATCACCTCAATCCTCAGTCTGATTCCTCTGACATATCCCCCATATCCCTGAACCCTCCTAACTCCCCAAGTCCCCTCACAGTTTCTGCAGTACCTGTGATAGGTGGGGGAATCACCCATAATTCTCAGCCGACACCTCGGCTTTCGGCTGCCCCATCTTCAGCTGTGTGCTTACCCAATTCCCACTCTATCATTTTACAGGTGAGACTGTACTTGAGATTTGTGATGATCCTGTAGTACAAGTAGAATTTGTTTATTTTCTTTGATGGGCTGTGAGAATATGTTGTGGTCCTTTTTATGTCTACTGTCAGTTATCCATTTCTTAATACAAATTATGAAGCCAGGAGTAGTGTTTTGTTTGTATGGCTACACAAAAGTCAGTTATTTATGTCT